AATGTTCCTGTTTACATCCTTAATATGCGATTAGTTTATCTAAATGAAGACCGTTTATACATTTGTTCCAAAGTTTTTTCCAAAGATGTAAAGAGCAGTTTTTCTGAGTCCGTTGGTTGGATTATAGTAAAGAAAGAAAATGTAACGGAAATTTCCCAGAATGCATTTCGCAGCAGCTGTAAAGCTTCTAAAAGCTGTTTAAATTTTCACTTTATCGCTGTTAATACACCACTTTCTTATGTTTTAATATTTTCTAATACGAAAATGTTCCTGCTTAGATCTTTAATATGCGATTAGTTTATCCAAATGACGCCTGTTTGTAATGGAATTTTCCCAGAATGCATTTCGCCGCAGCCGGCAAAGCTTCTAAAAGCTTTTTAAATTCTCATAAACATAAACAAACATAACCACCATTAGCCCCCCAGGTGACCCCCCCCCAGCAGGAGGGACCAGAGCCCCCTTTGGTTTCCCTCTAATTCTTTAGTTCCACCTACAGTTTATTAACCTGACTACATCTTTATTCATTGTTTTTCTGCCCTTTCCAGTTATTTTTAATTGTTTTTCTACTTCTTCAACTTAAATGTTCATTGTTTTCTGCTTCTTCCACTTATTTTTGGTTGTTTTGCTACTTTTTTTCCAAAGTTTTTCTGCTTCTTCCACTCATTTCTGGTCATTTAGCTGCTTCTTTTAGTTATTTTTGCTGCTTTCCCTCTGTTTTTTTTATTGTTTTTCTGTTTCTTCCACTTATTTCTGGTTGTTTAACTGCTAACCACCATTACCTCCCAGGTGACCTCCATGGCCCCCAGCAGGAGGGACCAGAGCCCCCTTTGGTTTCTACTAATTCTTTAGTTCCACCTACAGTATATTAACTCAGAGCTGAAGAAGCTTCTGGATCTGAGGACAATCGGCTTCTAGAAAACTTCACCTCCAGATGAATAACTGGACTCTAAAGCTGGACCTGGAAGTCTGAGGATCCTCAGATATATCTTTCCCTCACCCCCAACCGGCCGAGGCAGATGGCCGCCCACCCTGAGCCATGGTTCTGCTCCAGGTTTCTGCCTGTTAAAGGAAGTTTTTCCTTGCCTGTGTCGCCTAGTGCTTGCTCATGGTGGGAATTGTTGGGTTTCTGTAGTTAACTTCAGAGTAGGTCTGACCTGCTCTGTTTGGAAAGCTGTGAGATAACTGTTGTTGTGATGTGGCGCTATATAAATAAAATTGAATTGAATTGAATTGAATATGTAGTCAATATAATTGGCTGTACAGTCTGACAGTAAAAATGACAGTTTTTTGGTTCTGACCTCCGAATGTTAGAGACTCTGAGAGCTGTGATCCGTCTTACCTTGCTGCTCATCCTGAACCCAGTCATTCATACATGGGAACTAAACCCAGTAACTTATACATGGGAACTAAACCCAGTCACTTACAAATCGGAACTAAACCTACTCACTTACAAATGGGAACTGTCGTGGAGAATTTTCTTTTGTTTCTTTGTTAAAGCTACTGTTGTT